TTCTGCAGTCATGAGGAGTTTCCTCTCCACCTCAGGAGGTCAAACAAAGTCTATGCTCCCCGCTCCACCCTGATGAGGGACCACCTGCTCTTGACCATCCAGAGTGGTCTCAGATAGTCCAGCTAAAACAATGATTTTAAATGAGACCCACAGTTCTATAACAGAAGCCTTAAATGCCTTTGGAAATTCCTTGTCATATAAAGAACCAAGAGGATTTCAACATGAATGAAAAACAAATTAATAGTTAGTAAAGTGCTGCTGCACAAGCACAAGGGCCTAAGTTTGATCCCAACACTGAAGTAAAAAGCCAGGCATGGTGGCATGTGCCTGTAATCCCAGCCCTGGGAATTGGAGACAGGCTAGGTAGCTAGCCAGCTTAGCTGAATCACCTGAGAGACAGGTTCAGTGAAAGATCTTGTCTCAAAAAATAAGGTGGAGAGAGAGAGTGATGAAGACAACTGACATTGACCTCTGACCTCCTCACACACATACACACATGTATATGAACCTGCACGCATATGTTCATACACACACAAAGATGTGCACACACATATCATATGTATATGAATAAAATGCTTCAATGAACAATTATAAACATGTTTAAAACAAATGAAGAAATAGAAAGTCTCAGCAAAGAGTTGGACGACACAAGGTCTGGTGATTTAGCTCAGTCGTAGAGCACTGGCCTAGATGTGTAAGACTCTGAGTTCAGTCCACAGCACTATAAAAATGATAAAAAGAAGCAAATGGAAGTTTTAGAGCTGAAAACTACAGCTCAGTGGCTAGGCCTAATAGCAGATGAATAAAGAATTAGTGGACTGGTAGAGTAGAAACCATCCAGTTTGAAAGAGAGAGAATGCAGACTGGAAAAAAAAAAAAAAACACAAACAGAAAAAGAGCCCAAAGGCCCTGCATTTCTATAAGAAAAGCTCTAATATTTTTGTTCTTACAGTCTCAGAAATTAAAGGGAAAGGAAATAGAACTAAAAAACTTAGCGGAAACAATAACTGCTAAAAACTTTCCAAGTTTTGAAAGAACTTAAACTCATAGTTGGAAATTCAACTTAATCAGAATAAACTCAAAGAAATCATGTCATGGTGCGTCATAATTAAACTAAAATCCAAAGAAAGGCCAAAGACCAAACAAATCCAGTCTTGAGCAAATCTAGAGAGATACAACACTTTACCTGATGGGGAAAAGAACACAAACAATAGAAGATTTCTGTCAGAGATGGCAGAGGTACAGGAGTTTTCACACCAACCCAAGTTTTAGTCACAGGAAAGGAATCTTCATGTGTGCATTAGTCACTTTTCTGTTGCTGTAACAGAAACACTTACCCAAGCAATTTATAGAAGGAAGGGGTTATTTGAGCTTATGGTTCCAAGGGAATTACAGTCTATCATGGCAGGGAGGCATGGTGGCTGGAGGTGGCTGGAGTAGGAGCAGCAGAAGCTAAGCTCTCACATCATCACACAAGCACAGGAAGCAAGAGAGCAACTGGAGATCCTGCAAAGCTTAAGAATTCTCTAAGCCCGCCCCCAGTGACATGCTTCCTCCAGGATAGCCACACCTTCTAAAACCTCCCAAAAGAGTGCCATCATCTGGGACCAAAATGTCCAAATATTAGAGCGTATGGGGGACATTTTCATTCAAACCATCACATTCCACCCCCTGGCCCCCATAGGCTCATGACTGCATAAAATGCAAAATGCATTTAGTGCAACTTTAAAAGTCCCCATAGTCATTATCAGTCTCAATACTATTCAAAAGTCCACAGTCCAAAGTCTATTCTGAGACTCAAGTAAATATCTGAACTGTAAGCCTCTATAAAATCAAAAGACAAATTACATACTCCTCACATACAGTGAAACTGAATACAGATTACCATTCCAAAAGGGAGGACTGGAGGGTTAGTAAGGAAATACTGGACCAAAACAAGACCAAAAACCAGCAGGGCAAACACCAAATCCAGTAGCTCCACATCCAACTTCTGGGACCTCACTTTCAAAGGGCTTAGATGGCTCAGCCTCTCTAGCTTTGCTGCATGCAACACACATCTCTCTCTTGTGCTGGTACCACTCCTTGTATGCAGGGCTTCTTGGCAGATGCTTCACAGCTCTGGCATCGCAAACTTCTTGGGGCCTCCATTGCCAACCAGACTTCATCTTCACAGCATCAAGCAATGGCTTATCAAGGCCTTCTCTATGCAGGGCAACCCTGTTGCACCCTGCCTGGCCTCTGAGGCTCTCTGAAACTGAGGAGGAAGAATCAATGACCCCTTCACTCTTGCATCTTTCATTCCTCTAAAGCCAGCATCAGGTGAATGGCACTGCCAAATTTCACTGCAAGTTTGGGACTCCAGCCTGCTTTATCCATTTTAGAAGCTTTTTTCTTCAGTGGCCCCTGCAGCATTTTCCTTTCATGAGTTGGAGGCGTAACTGGGTGTGGTTGTGCCCTGGAGGCATTCTCTCCATTGTTTAAGTTTGAATCTCTAGGCTCCTCCTTAATCACTTTAATCTCTTTATCAATGGGATCCTCTTCAGAATATGCCAGGGCTCCAACATTAATCTTCCTAGTGCTCTTTTTCAATCCATCCTGTACATTTTGTGTTTCTTTCTACCCCATTTGCTCTTTTTCACTGTAAATTTGTATAATATTCACCATTAATAGCCATGCCACCATTTCTACTTGAAATTTCTTTTGCCAGAGAAAGTAGTCCATGGCTTTTCAACTTAGCCTCAGGTAAGCTTTTTGGCTATGGGCGGGCTCCAGCCAGACTCTTTGCCAAAATATCCCAATTGCTGCTTAAGTCCTTATTTCCCTCTGGAGCTACATTGTTCTCAGCACTACTTTCTTCCAGGAGTCTACTAGAATGACCTGTTGAGCTCTGCTTACAGCAATCAACTGCTTTTCTAGCCGAAACTTCCAAAGTCTTCCATATTTTTCTGAAACCCCACATGGTCAGGTTCTTCACAGTCAACAGCCCACTCTCTGGTACCAATTACTGTATTAGTTTTTTTTTTTTTTTTGAGTCCATTCTTAAATTTTTTTAAAAAAATGATTTATTAAAAAAAATTGATAGCTACATGATTAGAAGAAGCATTTCATTACAGCATTAACATATTCAGTAACACACTCCAGAGCAAGAGTACATCTCTTTCACAAGTGGCTGTAAGTTTCTAGGTTCATAGTTGAATTAATAAAGTTATACAATATTGAACTCAGTATAAGCCCTGTAAGACATAAAATTGAATGAGTTTTTAACCTTTAAAAAAGATCTCCATTTCATTTTAGAATATTTATTACCTTGAATTGGTGATGGAATCCCAGGTGTTAAAACATTCAAAGATCACTAAGATAAACATTAAACACATGTAGATCTGTGTATATTAATCATACCTCAAAGTTGGAGAGAAGGAAGGAAGGAAAGAAGGAGGAGAGAGACAGAGAAGGAGAGAGAGAGAGAGAGAGAGAGAGAGAGAGAGAGAGAGAGAGAGAAACCCAGTTCTATGGGAGACAGGTGGTCTTAAGCGCAGTGTGGGAAGGAAGTCCTTCTTCCAGGAAGATTGGAATTGTGCCCAAGGCTGCATTTCTGCCCCTGACTCCTCACGTCTTTCTTCTGGGTGTCGTTTGATAGCCATTCAAAAGGAAGGAACAACATGATACAATCAGGAATTATATGTGCTGACTAGATTTTATTCAGCACGATGATGGAACAGTGATTTTGTTTAATAAGGTTGGTTCTTGCTTTCTGTAGATTGACACTAAACTGTTTATAGATGAAATATGTCTAAAATTTGCTTTACCCTATGGAGTGAGACTTTTTGGTTCTTCTAGAAAGAGGTTCTGAAGCAGGTCTTTTAGGAGTCTGAATGCCATGTCAAGCCTTCTTATACACCTACGCAGCATTTGTTAGGTGTCTTCCAGTTAGTACCATTAGTCAATGGGGATCATGAAGCATTCAGCAGCATGCTAACTATCCTTTGCCAGAGATGTTGTGTTCATATTCCATTCCTTTCAAGAGTGACCAGTCTGGACTGACTCACCTACACCCACCCTGGAGGACTGTGTGTCCAGTTAGGAAATCCCTGGGGAGATAGGTTTCCCCATCCTGGGTGTAAAGTGTAGGTGCCTTGCTCAGTCACCATGGACTGAAGGATTCAGGTGATAGATAGGTCCTTCAAGTCCAGCTTTGTCTGAGGCTGCTGCTACTATGATTTGAGTGCATAGCAACAGTAACTGGTGGGTGATGACAAGGTAGCAGAACCTGTAAGAGGAGGAGCCTAGCAGAAAGCAATTAGGTCATGGGCGTATGCCCTTGGAAGGGGTGAATGCTGGTCTTTCAGGAGCCCCTAGAGTGGGTTGTGATAAGCTGGCCTGACACACCCCCTGACTCACTGGCTTTCTTTCTGCCTTGCCATGTGATCTCACACTTACTCCCACCATAAAGCTATCTTTCATGCTGTGATGACCCAGAAGGCCCTCACCGGAGCTAAGCAGATGCTAGAAACCTGTATCGTACCCAACCTCTGGTATTTTGTTACAGTATTGCACACGGACAATGATATTTGTATAGGACCTTCCTAACCTACCTCTTTTCCCCCTCCCTGTTATAATATTTCTTTTAGCTTTTGGAGACAGGGTCTTATTATATAGTCCAGGCTAGCATCAAACTCACCATGAAGCCAATGCTGACTCCTGTTGCTTCAGTCTCCCAATTGTTGTGATTACAGGCATGCCATCAAACCTCTTTATCAAGGCTGAACTGTCTAAGAGGACATTTCCTGGAGTCCTACAAGCATCCTTTTCCAACCTGAGGGTGCTAAATCCAGCCTCTGTTCACCTGACACGAGGATACAAGAATTTCTGTTGAAATCCAGACATCTCCACCCATAGTACCTGGCACCTCCCCAGCAAAAGTAACCCACCAGCATCTCACATCTCTAGTGAGGGTAGTGAAGAATCTCAAAGGAACAGAAACTCACAATGTACATAGAGGCTTAAGCAACAGGGTCAAGCTTTATTTGAGTGGTCACATTCATGTTATATTGTTCACAATGGGTGAACAGGCTAGTTTTAAAAAGGGTCCCACTTTCTTACAGTTCCATCTGTATCAGAAAGCAGGAAATAATGTTGTCTAATGTTCCACCTTAAGAGTATCATGGCAGTTCATAAACTTGTCAACAGACCATGTAAAATGATATTTACTGCAAGCTAGACCCTTTGGGGGTTCAAAATTTGGATACTTGGTTGGGGTACTTGTAAAGATAACTTTGTATGTTTTTTCTAGGTAAGGAAGGCCAGTCATTAAAAAAATATTGTACATTCTTGGCTAATAAAGAATTTTGATTTGGAAAAAAATATACATATAAATTCAAAGTCAGAACTAAAACATTCAATCCTATAAAAACACCTTACTAATAAAAGTATCAATTTCTAGACAAATTGCTTTTCAACAAGTTATATAAATTTTCAGAAAATACCCACTAAGTCAGACAGTCCACATAGGACTTGTTAAGGTGACTTCAAGGCTCAGCTGTCACCAGTGTTTTGTTTTCAGAGATGAACCACATTTTAAAATTACATTGCATATCAAAGGCACAAGTATTCTACAAAAAGTGCACTGAGTATCTATTTACTATGAGTCATTTATAGACAAACCCTTAACCTAGAGAGGGAGTTGTCAGGTCGGTGTGGCCTGCAGAGCGCACACAAGCTTTGTTGGGGTTCCTCTATGGCCTGACCTTGAAATGCTTAACTTGGAAAGCTTGTGATTGCATTTTGCCCACTATCTGAGATCAGCTCATTCATTTCATTCTGTTTGCTTTCTTTCAGGGCATGGTTGGGGTGATTTCTCTGTGATTGGGCTCTTTTAGACCTCCTAAAACATAATTTCAACAGCAGGTAACATAATTCTGCCACGTTGAGCAGCATGCAAATCACAGATGCGGAAATCATGAAAACGGTGAAGACGGTTTTCTCAGTCGGCCTCGAAATGAAGCAGTCCACCAAATTGGGGCAGGGCTCAATGCCACATTTCAGCACCCAGGGCAGGTGGTACCCGTTGTAGAGGAAGTAGAACACATACATGAAGGCGGCTTCGAAGACAATGCGGAAGAAGATGCTGCTGGCGTACGTCCACCACAGTGACCCCTCGATCCGCACCTTCTGCTTTTTGATGTCCTCCAGGTCTTTGAATTCGTTTGTCTTCTCCCCACGTCTAAATTTGCGTGCTGTTTCGTGTCTGTGGTAGGCCACATGCATGGCCACCAGCAGTGCTGGGGTAGACACAAAAATCAGCTGCAGGGCCCAGAGCCGGATGTGGGACACGGGGAAGAAGTGGTCGTAGCACACGTTCTTGCACCCTGGCTGTAGAGTGTTGCAGACAAAGTCCTCCTGTTCATCACCCCATACTTCCTGGGCAGCCACCACGAGGATCATGACCCGGAAGATGAAGATGACTGTGATCCACACCTTCCCGATGCTGGTGGAGTGTTTGTTCACACCGCCGATGAAAGTGTGCAGGGTCCCCCAATCCATTGTGCGGATTTATTTCTAAACAGGCAAAAGGAGGAGAGGATAATTAGTGGAAAGTGCCTCTGAATTAACAGACAAGTGTCATGGTGAAATTACAAAAGCATAGTGAGTATAGACAGAATTCACTTAAAAGTCTGGACATTTTGTTGATTTAACTGGTAGTCTGCTGTCTGGACAAGAAAGGCCCATTCTAAAGACATCCTGACACTGCTGAGCACAAATAACTGTACTGGACAAACTTCACTTGTCTTCTCCATTAGGCAATGCCTACACCTCTAGGTGAAGGGTTTGTCTTAGTAAGTGGCTTCCATAGTCAATGTTACTTGAGTTCTCTTTTTGCATAGTACTTGTGCCAAGTCACATTCAACATAAATCATCTTGATTCAGCCAAATTCTGATGGTATATTAGGTTGCTTTTTGTTATTAATCCAAGAACACAAGTAAACAAATTCATGTCCAAGTTCCCTTTTGTTCACTGTGTAAATACACTTTATATTAGTTTCGTTTTACTCAAGGACTCAGAACTTCTGCCATAGATTTTATTCATTAAATACTTATTTAAGCCACAAAACAAATTAGAATGACATAATCTGGTTTATTTGGCAGACTCAGAAAGATCAAGTGTTATTAGTTGACTTTATAAGTCTATTTATACCTATTTCTAGATTGAATGGCACCATTCGCTGCAATCATGTGTTCTTAGGAAAGCTAATATGATCAACTACTTTCTTCCAAAAGAATCACAAGGTTTGACTCAAATTGTTTCCTTGTTCTCTGATGGAACCAGGCCATGTGTTGGTTTTCACTCAAAACACGAGTCTCACTGGCACCAAGGACCACTGCAATCCACGGCCACCCTCCCTTCTAAGGACCGATTTGACATCCTGGCTGACGAAACAGCCATCACTGTCCAGATAGTGTGCTGATTGCTGCTCTGGCTATAGACCAGGCAGGGAAGCTGAGGTGCACACCATGGGAAATGAAAGGGGGTGTGACAGGAGTATAGTTAGAAATTTTCATATTCTGGTTCCAAGAATTTCTCTTCCTGCCCTGGCCTAGGACATCAAATTGTTCATAGATCCAAAAGCTGGTCACATACTATGGCGCACAAGAACTTTATGATGACGACACATAGATTCTTAAATTCAAACTAAACTTGAGCTAAGCACTCACCTGTGGTACAAATGGAAAATTTACAGGATTGTTTTAATTTGTTCTGGACTGAGTTAAATTTTAATTTTTTTGATTAAAAAGAAAACAAGTAATTGAATTCCATAGCCAAAGATTTGAAAAGGCAGAGGAGTGAGGCTTCTTAAAAAAATGTGTCTATCATTACAAAAGGCAGGAGGTGGAGGACTGAGGGGAGTTTTAAAGCCACAGAAAGATGGAGACAACTCAGATCACAGGTGAGTGGAGATAATAGAATACCATGCCACAAAAATATAATGCAAAAAAGTTAAAAATTAGGATGTGGCTGTGCATGATGGCACATACCTTTAATCCCCAGCACTCTGGAGGCAGAGGTAGGTGGATCTCTGTGAGTTCAAGATCTGCCTGGTTTACATAGTGAGTTCCAGATAACTGGGGCTACAGGAAGACTGTCTCAAAAAACAAACCAAAACAAAACAAAATTAAGAATATGAAAAAAGAAAGAAAATAAGGTATTTGTGCCCAAACTACAAAAAAGTAGTGGGTGGGTACAATCCTTGGATTTTAAGATGTTTTTCGTATTGTTTTGTTTGTCATGTTTTTGAGGAAGTGTCTCATATAGCCCAGGCTGGCCTAGAATTTCTGATCCTCCTCTATCTCCTGAGTGTTACGATTCTAGGCATGTACCATCATCTCCTGCTCCAGATAGTATAATTTTAGTCATCAACCAATAAAAGACAAAAAATTATTTATTTATTGCCAGGCGTGGTGGCACATGCCTTTAATCCCATCACTCGGGAGGCAGAGGCAGGTGGAGCTCTGTTCAAGGCCAGTCTGGTCTACATAGTGAGTTCTAGGACAGCTGGGGCTACAGGGAGACCCTGTCTCAAAAAGACCAAAAAAAAAATTTAATTATTTATTTACTTATTTTTAGTGCTGGGATTGAATCCAAGGCTTCATGTGTGTTTGGCAAATTCACTATCTGATCCCCATCCCTGTCCTGGGATACTTTCTGTTTAACCTCCAGTAAAAACCTAAAACAACAACAGTAAATTTTTTTTTTGAAAGACTTTAGTAATAGTGGTCATGGCAGAGGTGTGGACAATGTCTTAGGTGTACATGGGGTTTATGGACTTCATCAAGGCACCAGGGAGCTACCTGCATCCTCTTGGTTCCTGTAATAACTCACGCTAACATTGTATTTAAGGAATGTCAGTGTTCTATATGAGTGATCTTCTCAGCAGGATGCCAGTGTCTTTCCATCACGTTGTGGAAAAGCAACTTAGGCTGTGTGAGAACTGAGTGTTCAGGTTCCCTTGAAGAATGCTCACTTCTCATTTCAAGGAAGATTCTGGCATGCCAGGGTACCCTTGAGAGGGTGGACAGGTAGTGGAGTCTGGAATGAAAGTGTCTTATTTCACCAGGAGAGTACCTAAGGGGCCCAGAACAAACTAGCAGTACAAAATTGGGATAGAAAAATGTCTATTTTCAATAGGTTTAATTATTAAAAACAAGCTACTTAGCTGAGCATGATGATTCACACCTGTAATCCTGCACCAGGGAGGCTGGAAAGAAGGCTTGCAAGTTTCAGGCCAGCCTGGGCTATGAGATCCTGTGTCAAACAAATATTCTAAACCAAACAAATCAACAAAACAACCTCAGCAATTTATCTATCTAAAATTTTAAAGGAAAGCAACTACATGAGATGCCTAGGTCACAAAGTAAAACAAGCTTAAACCCCAATACAGGCATGTTTAGCCTCAAGACAATCAGGGGAAAAGCTTTGCTTTTCACCGGATTCAAAGAGTCTTCCTGTGAGAACAATAAAGAATCTTTTATTTATAACAGAAGAAATGACTGAAAAAGAGGAGGGTACTAGGTGAACATGAGCCTTTGATTCCCAACAGTGAAACAACTCTTGCTATTCCTTTGCCTAGACAATATCATTCCTGATGTGGTCATCAATAAAGTCCTGGGTATCAGTCCTGCATAGAATTGGTTATGAGCCAAGAGCAAGAAAAGCGAGGCCACTTTACAAGTGTCAGGAGACAGGCCAGGGTGATGGGCAGTTTGGGGATTCCTAAGCCCTAAAGTTCCCAACATGTGGCCTTAGTCCCTGGGAAAACCTGCCTCCAGGAGACTCTTTCGCATCCAAGGAACCATGGGAGGTGGAGGTGACAAAGGACTGAAGATTCAGCTGGTTTAGAGAGGATGCATTCCTCTTGCCCTACCTTATCAGTGGGCAGAGGCACCTTGGCCAGTGTAGGGACAGGGTGAATACAGAGCCTAAGAAGTCCTTGCCTTCAGATCTCTCTTGCAGGAACCCATGACCTGAGGCATCTTTCTTAAGTACTTTGGTTAGAGTGAGGTGGAAGTACCCAATACTCTGAGTAATTGTCACTAATGCAAAATTAATTTCCTAAATTACTGCAGCCACCAGAACCCTTTGCAACTGTAGTGAACAAAGTCCTCATGTGCATTAATAAAAAATAAAGAAATTGTATTTGTTAAAAAAAAAACAACAACACACCACAAATCTACCTTTGCTTTCATGCATCAACAGGTTTGGAGATAATGGGAGGAGCTTCTTCAAAAAAGAAGCTATTAACCCTTTCTCTGTACACCAGAAAGGTTTGTTTTAACTGGCACCTTCTTGGTTCACCCATAAGGAACAAATAGACAGGTTTAGCTCACAGGTGTCACCTTAGGAGAATGTGATTACATTTAGGCTTAAGAAGACACACTACATCTATTTCTGTGATATATTTGATTACAGTGTACAACTCCACCCATTCTTGATACCAAAATTCCAGCCCTAAATACTTAGCTCTAAAAACAAGCCAGTGAGCTCACTTCTGAGGAAGCACACAGTATCATGAAGATCAACTGTTCTTCTCCTTCACAACTCAAATCAGTTAGGTCTAGTGGCGTTTCAACAGCAATGCCATTTCTTAATGCTTTTTAAACTTTTCTTAGACAGATCTTAATATGTGTCTCTGGCTGCCTCATACTCCCAGGTTGACCTCAAACTCATAGTAATCTTCCTGACTCAGTCTCTTGAGTGCTGGGATTTAGAGGTATGTATCATCACACTTGGCCTTCAAAACTTTTTTTTTTTTTGAACGTGAGGTCATTTTTATTAGTTTGAGTGAAAACGACAGGGAAGGCAAGCTGTGAAACTCAGCAGCCACCAGGAGGAGGGATAGGGAGTAAAAGCAAGCCATGCCTTTTGAGTCAGGCTGGTGTGCTCAGCAGTGGCGCTTTGAAACTTTTCATTTAGGAATTTAATCATATAGCTGGCTGACATGGAAGACAGAACCCAAACTAAACCCTCAGCACCCAGAAAGGGGTAGGAAGCATTTTTCTTTTTCTAGATCCATCTACATAGTTTGAAAAAAACCCACTGGATGAATATTTAATAGATCTCAGAGAAAAGCACACTCCTTACAATGCCCACGTGAGCTCTGCAGAGTTGAGGATGAAAGGAGCCAGGTCCAAGCAAAACAAGCAAACCTGAACCTTATTTCCAAGGACTCCCAGTGTGTCAGGCTCCAAGAACCAAGGAAAGGTCCCTTTGCAAGGGCTTCTGGCTTGTCCTCTTCCTCCTCTTGCTCCAGCACCTGAGTGGAAGATAGCAGTGCGGCAATGATACCAATAGAACTCGTTGCTCTACTTGTGGATGATAGTGGGAATGTCACCTGTTGAATGGAAAGTAAGCATTGCTGTCATATTCCTTCAAGTTCTGTGCATGTTCATCAAATGAACTTTGTATTTTCTTTCATCACCAGACCTGTTAAAGGGTAAATTTGGGTATTGTCAGTTTCCTAATGCTTCATACTTGTAACACCCCTACCAAAATCAAAGGTGCTCTGTAGTGTAGGTTTATTTCTCTATCATCAAAATAATAATGGTGATGATGATGATGACAATGCTCTTCCCAAACCCCACCCCACTTTTTAAAAAATGGGAAAGAGTTTGGGATGCTGGGTACAGCCCAATCTCCAAATTAGAGTTTAAAAACAAATCTTAAAGTCTTTCTTTAATCTAGAAATCTCAGGTGATTTAAGAGGCAACCCGATAGTTGAGTTTTAAATTTAATGATGTAAAACACCAGTAACTGTGCTTTCAAAATAATGACTGGTGATAATAGAAGGTTTAGGATTTGTATCTCTCATCAAAATCAACTCAATAAGAATGACAATTTTTCTATCAGTTTAAGTATAAAAATGGATAATCCACAAAATTACATTCTTACTTCATTTAAGAATTTATACAACTACAAAATTAATTTCCATTAAGTTCAACATCCCTTCTGTGGGTTTTGTTAGCAGTGTCTGGTTCAAGCAAGTCTCTACTTTTCTAAACATTTAGGTTCAATTACAATTAAATGACTGGAAGGGAAAAAAGAAAGAAAGAAAAGAAAAGAAAAGAAAGAAAGAAAGAAAGAAAGAAAGAAAGAGAAAGAAAGAAGGCCCTTGGGGCCCAGCTCCACTCTCTCAGATCAAGCGACAGCATCTGAAATCAGTCTAGGATGGTGTAAGATTATGCTCTCATGGGCCTAGAAACTTGGGCTGAAATGATTTTCCCACAATTGTATTCCACTTAGTATTTTAACTAATGCACTCAAACTCATAATCCATAGATTTTTTTTTTTTTTTTTTTTTTTTACTGAATGTGAGATGCATGATGAAGATGTGCAGGTCAGAATTTTCCTTCCATTGCTGAAATTGTTGACAGGCTTTACACATTTCCTTTTTGACTTTTACAATGCAGAAAAGAAAAAGAAAAAGGGACGAGAGTTACCATTGCCTATATCAGAATTTACCTTGAAGTAACAACCACTAGTCAACCATGTAGACTGACCAGTCTTCTGGGCCTCAGTCCCTGTGGTGAGGTGAAGGGGAGCCCTTCACACCAGTCATATGACAGGCTAGCCCCAGGAGCTCTCTCTTCATCAGGGCCTCCTGTCCTTGGCACTGTTCAGACAACACCCCCAAGGACTCTGCTGGATCCCAATGGGTCACAAAGCTCTCTGCAGGAGCAGTTTTGAGCAGCACCCTGCAGTTCTAAGGAAACTGCATCAGGACAGGACATTTTCTTCTGTAACACTGGCTAGATTCTACTAGAACTAGGGCAAGGAAAGCATAAAGTTTACTTGAAGGAAAACAACAAGGCTGCAGGGTTAAACTCAACCAGGTGCAAACTGACAGTGAGCTTCCTACCTAAGGTGCACTCAAGTCGTCCAGCCTGGCGTCCCTTACCGGTTGCAGGTCCTTAGTTCCTCCACAGCTGTGTCAAGGCCACAGTCACTGGGACTCAAGGCTTGCTCACTAGGAAGGGAGCCCGGCCCAAGTCTGCAGACTCCGGGATGCCAACACCTGAGACTGGGCTCCGCTCACCGCACAGGAAGTACTACCAGTGTCTGAACCTTTTAACCAGATGTGTCACCAATTACTTCTAATTGCTGTTGTGTACAGTACTGTCATCTGCATTTCACAAGTTCCTTGGTCTTAAATCATGCAGCCCCAGTGATCATTTCTGTCCAAAACTTATCCACGATCCAAGTCTCAGAGTATGACAGAACTTAAACGCTATCCCTTGATCTCCCCTCAAATCAAAGTGGAACAGGTCTGTGACCTCCAAATCGAAAACAGCCCATGAACACAGTAAAGGAAATAGGGGAAAGAGACTCGGTCCCCACACCGGTCACTGTATACAACCTGATATATTTATAAAACCTGTCGTGCAAGTCAGAGGGGCATCATGCCCTGGCAGAAGTCAAACCAGTCCATCCCGGTTTCTGGAGCAGTACAGGGGTGGGGGCGGCGCCGGGGACAAGCACCCGCCAGCTCTGCAGCCTGCCGGGGCTCAGAAGCCAGGATGCGGATGGGAGGCAGATAAGGATGCCGGACAGCCCACGTACGGGCTCCCACCCTGCGGTCAAGACTGCCTGGCCTGGGGACAGTCACCAAGGGACCAGCCTCCCGCGCCCTATGGGGGGACATGGCGAGGAAGGGGACAGGTCACCGCCTTTACCTGCTGGGGCTTCTCGGAGGGAATTCTCCCACGCCGGAGTGGCGGAACCTTCCCGGCTCCCGCTTACCTCCACAGGGGGGACCCGGACTCCCCGGCGCGTGGCGGCTGTCTCGGCTGGTGCCTGGCTCCCAGGTCGGTGCCGGCGCCCCCAGCTCAGGAGGGAACAGAGTCCGAGTCGGGCTGTGCGGGAGGAGCCCGGGCTCCCACCTGCAGCGCCCTTTAACCGCGCCCCTCCCCGCCTCTGCCTGACGCGGCTCCAGCGGGCTGCGGGGAAACCAGCGCGGGCACACTCTGAGCCACCCCGGGGCGCACCGCCCTCCCTATTGGCTAGGGGTGCGGGGCAAGTCCCCTAAGGAGGAGCGGGGCGCAAGGGACCCTCCCTCTGGAACCTGGGGTGCAGGGCAGGTCTCCCTCTTTGTGGCAGGGTGTGTTTCTTTGGGGTTGGAGGAGCAGAGCGGGGCAGTGACGAGTGCAGAGGACCCTCCTTCTGGAACCTAGGGTGCAAGGCAGGCCCCCCTCGGTGGGGCAGAGTGCAGAGGGCGTTCCTTTGGAGTTGGGTGCAGGGCGGGACCCCTAGGTGGAGAAGGGTCAATGGGACCCCCCCTGGGGCTCAGGGCGGGTCCCATTTGGTTGACAGGGTGCCGGGAACTTTCTTTTGGGTCTGGGGATGCGGAGTGGGTTCTTCTTAGGGAGTGTGAGGACTCAGGTAAAACCTTACCTGTGAGGTTGGGGAGCAGGTCGAGTGTCCCCTTGGGGAGAGAGCCAAGGAACCAGATGGAAGACGGCCTTCCCTTGGGTTGGGAACACAAGACAGGTCCTTTCCAGGGGAGGTCGGAGACCACGATGGAAAGCCCAATGGGGTCGGGTCATGGGCAGGGAGGAGTTGCCTGCTGAGGTGTTGCTGACTCTGGACACCCACAGGGCTGGAGTAAGGGATAAGGCCTGATCAGACTCCTCAAAGGAACAGACTTTGGGATAGTGGGTCCAGTACTCAGCTGCTCCTGTTAGTAGCAGTGTTAGGGACACTGGCAGTTTGTTTCCCCTGGTCATACCTCCTTTATTGACCTGCTGAGTGTGTGCTGCCCTCCCCTCCAGAGCAGTCGGCAGCCCTGAGGTTCTTTATTACTTAATGACCATTTAAGAGTCACAAAAGTTGTTTTTTTTAAAATTATTTATTTAATAACCATATAATTAGAAGAAGCATTTCATTACGACAGCATTGACATATTCAATAACAATTTCCAGAGCTAAGATGCTTCTCTTTCAAAATTGGCTGTAAATTTTTAGGTTTACAGTTGAATTGATACAGTTATACAATATTGTACTCTGTATAAACCCTATAAGACATAAAATTAAATGAAGTTTAAAAGTTGTTTTTATTAGTTGCCTCCATCCTTTAAAACCTCCAGGGAAGTGGAGCAGGTCTTGCTCTGGGCGGTGTACCACTGAGAGACAGATCCCCTTTGTCCCAGACAGGACAGGGAAATATCAGGGCCGGGACACAGGGTGGTACAGGGGCTAGTTGGGGTGGAAATGTTGGAAGCTATTTAGGGACCTGGATTCACAGGTTCTAACCCATCCTACATAAGACAAAAGATGTGTAGCTTGCTTATTTGATGAAATTGGTTGGCAATTATATGTTCCCCCCTTAGCTATATTCTACTTGTTGGTTCATAGTTTCTCTCATGAACTAAGAGTAATAGTGGTTCCCAAAATGTTTCCCCCAGGTCTTGGAAGTTGAGACAACACTTCATAAAAACTACTTTTGAAAATAGTTGAATACAAGGTTCTCAGAGAATTGGTCCTGAATCAAGTAAATTTAGAACATTTTGAGTAGTCCCTGGAATGGCATTGAACCTAGGGGTGGAAAGACAGATGTAACAGATGCAGGTTGCCCTGGTGTTCACTGGGCTTTGGTGGGTCCTCTCCTGCTTCCTGCCTGATTCTCAGTCCCTTCTCCATCCCTCCTCTAAACATGCATTCCAGGCAGGCTCACTTGCTGCCACAGGAAAACAAGCTATGTTTTCCAAGCAGATTGTAAATTGTTTGGGAGACTTAAAGCTTAAGCTTCTCTTTACTTTCTTTTTCTTTCCTGCATTCTTAGAGTAATGGGTACTTGGCACATGGTAGGCACTGTTCCACAAGTATTTGTATGTTACTTGGCAGAACTGAATCAGTACCATAGATCACACTGGAAAATAACTTTTGCTTTTCCTACAGAACAGTATGATCTCACTCCTGGAGCTGGCTCTTTGCAAAACAGTGCTAGAGTAGGTCAGTGGAAGATGCTCCAGGACATATGCAGAAGGAAAGTCAGACCACAGGAGTCTTAAGAATACATTACTATACAGGTATCCAAAGGGGGAACCAACTTAACAAGGCAAAATTACCTGTATACAGCTCCAAGGTACTGGCTCTTCAACTTCATGTACTTAGTAGTTGTTAGACATACTGTTCAGCATTCACTTCTCATCAGGCTGCTGCAGAAATAACTGTGGACTATGTGAGTTTACCAACTCGATGGAGATGTTCATTGGGAAACTGAGAAGTCAGTTAACATGGAGTGGTGACTGTGTGGATCTTCTGTGTTGCAGGAGAAAATGCAACTCCACCTGCCCATTTGAGAGCATCATCACATTCTGAAAAAGATACTGGTAGACTTCGTTTTAATTGGTGGTCAGAATTCATCTGATTGATGTCTTTCTTCTGCATGGTAATAGCAACTTCCAAGCCCATAAATGCAGTTGGCACAAAATATGTGAGATGTGGATTCTATAAGATGAGATGTGAAAGGGATGATGGGAAAGAGGCTCTTCTGAACATCTGAGTGACCCTTGTTCCCTTGTCAAAGGAGCAGAGGAGACTGTCACTCCCTCTGTCTGGCTCTGCTGCATGTGTTGAGGGAGGGATCAGGTTCCCATTGCTTAGGCCTTTACTGTCCAATTTGAAAACAGAGCACTCAACTCAACTCTACTTTTTACCTGACATAGCTCTTGATGCCTGTCAGAGAGGAAAATATCTGTCCTTTGAAAGAAAAGCTAACATTTGACTATTCATTCAACAAAAACCCCATATTATTTTTAGTGAACTATCTTTCATTGGGGTTTGTCTGATTCTGGATGGGGTGTGTTTTGACAGGAAGACCACAGAAGTGAAGAACTATTTTCTTTCTTTTTTTTTTTTGTGAAGAACTATTTTCAACACATCATATCAAAGACATATAACTGTAGTCACTGTGGCCCCTGAGGTCCCTGACTGCTGATGCAGACCTTGGCTTGAGGCTAAGGTAATATCTGTCAGGTTTCTCCACTGCAAGCTCACCCTTTGCTTCCTTCTTGGGAGGAGATCACTTGCACAGCTGTCCCTTCTCCCAATTTATTCATTGATTACCTCACTCCTTTATTTCAGCACAGACTCATGGGTATTTATTTATTCTTTGGCTTATAATTCAATATTACCTCCATTACTTTGGTGTCCAGATTATTTTTAACTTTGGCTGCTGAGCATTTTTTCATATGACTCCTGTTTTCTGCATACTGGAAATCGTGTGTGTGTGTGTGTGTGTGTGTGTGTGTGCGTGCACGCGCATTGTAGCACTTTGTCACTAAAAGATGTTGCAGGTTTACCTTAAGTACTCCCAACCCCAGCCCTGCACTCAGCTATTTCTCTAAGGAGTTGTGTCCCTTTACTGGAACACCACTGTGTGTGATGTGTGCCTGCTTATTTATTGCCCATCTTCCTACTCAGTGGTGGGATCCTTGCTGGCTGCATTGCCTGGCTCTTCATCCTTCTGTGCTGTGTTTAATGTACTCTGGGGTCCCAGCAAGTGTTTGTTGAGTGAATGCATTCAAGAAATGTGAGGCTAAGGATGTAGCTCATTTGGTAGAGTTGCCTAGCACGCCTGAAGCCTTGGGTTTGAATCCAAAACTGCATAAACTAGATGTGGTGGCACATGCCTGTAATCCTAGTTCTCAGGAGGTAGAGGTAGAAGGATCAGAAGTTCAAGGTCATTCTCAATTACATAGTGAGTTTGAGGCCAGCCTGAGTTACAGGAGGCCCTGTCTTAAAAAAAAGAAGGGATTAAAAAAGAGTGGATTAATTGGAAATATGAGAGGATTCTGGTTGATGAAAACAATAAGGAAAGGTATAGTTCCAACCCATCTGATCATCAGTCATGTGCCTTTGACAGAATGGGGTGTAAAATTGGTTAGATCTGACATTGAGGAGTGACACATGCTGGAGGCAGGAGGCTCTCAAATACAGAGGTGCACCCCCCATCCAGCCAGATGTTAAAAGGTTTCTACAAAGAAGCACAGAGCACAGTGTATGGTTCTTCACTCTGTAGACCTAGAAATAATGTTTGATGTCATCAAGCCTGGAAAAGATTATATCCCAGGCCACAGTGCCAATGGATTATCTGTTGGAGATGCACCTGCTTGGCCATGCCTGCATGTGGTATGATGTTGAACCCAGAATGAGGGTCACAAAAGGTGGACAGTTTGCAGGGTTATTAACACCAGGCAATGAGCCTGATACATGGCCTTCTGGGTAAAAGATGGATGTCTATCAGTAGGGTAGCTTCCAAGGAAGTCTGGACTCTCCATCTTTGGTTTCTTGCTACCTAAACTGTATCTAGCCCACAGCTCTAACTCGAACACGTCTTCTCATATTCAAATCAAAGTATGCTTAGGTGACTGTACCATTCTTCTAATACATTTATAGAAATTGTTTTTCTTCTTTTGCATGCTTTTGAAGTGCATTTAAAAAAAGTATTTCTGGTGTTTTTCTTTAATATTTTATCAGTAAATTCCTTGGATATTTCCATAGCAGGTCAGTACTCATTTGAGAGTGAGACTCCCATGGTCTTAAATCCACATCCTGGTAACCTACCAAAATGCTTTTGCTTCTGGCCATGGAAGAATACAGTGTATCATATAATAATATCACACAGTATTATTTCACAATATAAAGACAAATGAGACATTAAAACTTCCAGGTTTTGTTCTGCAGGAGATCAGAAGAAGGTTGGAAAGTTCTTGAAAAAGCTTTGTAACCTGGGCTGTGGCAAGAAGTGGCCCAGAGAATCTGGGGCCAGTTTATGGTCACCTGATTAATGCAGTATGTTGGTGACAGTGAGGAGACAGGCTGGCCTGCTTGGAGTAGAGGGCTGTGGGGACAAAATGACGCAGTGCTCAGAGGTGTTGACAGTTAGGGAAAGGAGCTGAGCCAGGGACATGAGGACCGGGGACAGCACTGGGCAGAGCTGAACAGATCTTAACAAAGGCTGTACTTAACAGCTGGCGTTCCATGGCTACCTGTGATGGGTGAATGCACCCTTTAAAATACCTGTCAGAATTTAAGTGTCATGTGACAGTGTTAAGAGGTAATTAACGTTCCACTTCTGGATGGGATCAGTACCATCATAAAAGGTGAGCTTGGTCTCTCTACCTGTCTTTGCCA